TAATGATTCTCAACGTTGTTTGCTTTTTTGACGGCCACTGCATATTGAGTGGATGTTTTCAGAAAACTATCCACAATGACTCCAAGATCTCTTTCTTGAGTGGTAAAAGCTAATTTAGACCCCATCATTTTATATGTATAGTTGGGATTATGTTTTCCAATGTGCATTACTTTTCATTTACCAGGATTGAATTTCATGTGCCATTTTGTTGCCCAGTCACCCAGTTTTGAGAGATCCTTTTGTAGCTCTTTGCAGTCTGCCTGGGATTTAACTATCTTGAGTAGTTTTGTATCCTCTGCAAATTTTGCCACCTCACTGTTTACCCTTTTTTCCAGATCATTTATAAATATGTTGACTAGGACTGGTCCCAGTACAGACCCCTGGGGGACACCACTGTTTCCCTCTCTCCGTTCCGAAAACTGATAATTTATTCCTAGTCTTTGTTTCCTATCTTTTAACCAGTTACCAATACATAAGCGGATCTTCCCTCTTAATCCCATGACAGTTTACTTTGCTTAAGAGCCTTTGGTGAGGGACCTTGTCAAAGGCTTTCTGAAAATCTCAGTATACTACATCCATTAGATTTCCCTTGACCACATGCTTGTTGAGCCCCTCAAAGAATTCTAGTAGATTGGTGAGGCATGATTTCCTTTTACAAAAAATATGTTGACTCTTCCCCAACAAGTTATGTTCATCTATGTGTCTGACAATTTTGTTCTTTACTATAGTTTCAACCAGTTTGCCCTGTAGTGAAGTCAAGCTTATCGGCCTGTAGTTGCCAGGATAACCTCTGGAGCCCTTTTTGAAAATTGGTGTCACATTACCTATCCTCCAGTCATTTGGTACAGAAGCTGATTTAAATGATAGGTTTACAGACTACAGTTAATAGTTCTGCAGTTTCACATTTGAGTTCCTTCAGCATTCTTGGGTCCTGGTGACTTACTGCTGTTTTAGTTTCAGTTTGTTCCAAAACCACCTCTAATGACACTCATTCTGGGACAGTTCCTCAGATTTGTCACCTAAAAAGAATGGCTCAGGTTTGGGCATCTCCCTCACATCCTCAGCAGTGAAGACTGTTGCAAAGAATTTATTTAGTTTCTCTGCAATGGCCTTATTGTCCTTGAGTGCTCCTTTAGCATCTCGATAGTTCAATGGCCCCACTGGTTGTTTAGCAGGTTTCCTGCTTCTGATATACTAAATTTTTGCTATTACTTTTTGAGTCTTTGGGTAGCTGTTCTTCAAATTCTTTTTTGGCCTTCGTAATTATATTTTTAAATATAATTTAAAAATTTGCCAGAGTTTATGCTCCTTTCTATTTTCCTCACTAGGATTTAACTTCTGCTTTTTAAAGGATACCTTTTTGCCTCTCACTGCTTCTTTTACTTTGTTGTTTAGCTATGGTGGCTCTTTTCTGGTTCTCTTACTACGTTTTTTAATTTGGGGTATAAATTTAAGTTGAGCCTCTATGGTGTCTTTATAAAGTTTCCATGCAGCTTGCAGGGATTTTACTTTTGGTGCTGTACCTTTTTAATTTCTGTTTAACTAACCTCCTCATTTTTGTGTAGTACCCCTTTCTGAAATTAAATGCTACAGTGTTGGGCTCTTGTGTTTTTCTGCCGCAGAGTAGGGTTCAGGGCTTGCCCCGCTCCATGTGTGGCTCTGCACGGCTCCTGGAAGCTGCAGCATGTCCCCCACTCCAGCTCCTATGCAGAGGGGCAGCTGCGGGCTCCGCATGCTGCCCCCGCCCCAAGTGCTGCCCTTACAGCTCCCATTGGTCAGCAACCGCAGCCAATGGGAGCCGCAGAGGCAGCGCCTGCAGACGGGGCAGCACGCAGAGCCGCCTGGTCACACTTCTGCTTAAGAGCCGGAGAGGGGACATGTCACTGCTTCCAGGAGCTGCTTCAGGTAAGCGCCACCTGGAGCCTGCACCCCTGACCCCCTCTTGAGCCCCAATTCCCTCCACAGCCCTGATCCTCGACCCACCCTCCAAACCCCTTGGTCCCAGCCCAGAGCACCCTCCTGCACCCCAGAGCCCGCACCCCCAGCCAGAGCCTGCACCCCAACGGCTTGCCCCAGCCCAGAACCTCCTCTCGCCCCCTGAACTCCTCATTTCTCGCCCCACCTCAGAGCGCTCACCCCTTCCTGCATCCCAACCCCCAATTTTGTGAGCATTCATGGCCCGTCATACAATTTCCATACCCAGATGTGGCCCTTGGGCTGAAGAGTTTGCCCACCCCGATTCAAGGTATCAAACTTTATCTCTCAAAAAGAAAAGGAGTACTTCATTGGATACTGTAGCTCATGAAAGCTTATGCTCAAATAAATTGGTTAGTCTCTAAGGTGCCACAAGTACTCCTTTTCTTTTTGCAAATACAGATGAACACGGCTGCTACTCTGAAACTTTATCTCTGCATCCTGTCCTGAGGTGACATGTACCCAGTCAATATGGGGATAGTTGAAATCCCCCATTATTACTGAGTTTTATATTTTAATAGCCTCTTTAATCTCCCTGAGCATTTCACAGTCACTATCACCATCCTGGTCACCTCCACTACTCCCCTTGGAAGGCTGTTCCAGAACTTCACTCCTCTGATGGCTAGAAACTTTTGTCTAATTTCCTAACTTGTTTCAAGACTGAGTTTAATAGGTTGACGGAGGGGATGGTATAATGATAGCCTGCAGTGGCCCATCCACTATTGCTAGTACCAATTATCCCCAACAGTCTGAGATGGGACACTAGCTGGGAAGGGTTCTGAGTTACTACAGAGAATTCTTTCCCAGGTGTCTGGCTGTTGGGTCTTGCTGACATCCTCAGAGCCTAAGCAGTTGCCATATTTGAGGTAGGGAAGGAATTTTTCCCCAGGTGAGAGTGACAGGTTTTTTAGCCTTCATCTGCAGCATGGGGCATGGGTCACTCACTAATTAATTTGAACTAGAGTAAATGTTGGATTCCCTGAAACTGAAGTCTTTAAATGAAGATCTGAGGACGTCAGTAACTCAGAGGTGTATGAGCTTATTACAGGAGTGAGTGTGAGAGATTCTGTGGTCTGAAATGTTCAGGAGGTCAGATTAGATGATTACAATGGTCCGTGTCTGTATCAGTTCTCACCATGAATTATAAACATTGCGATATAATATTGTAAATGAGCTTACACTCAGACACGGAAAACTTTAAGCTGTGTAAATTATAAACAAGTGTGAAAACCAGCTAGAAAATGGTTTAGTCAGGAGCAGTGCTTAAAGAAACACCATAAATTTGTGATCTGGTCATTATAGTAGTAGTTTTGGAACCCATGTCTGTCCAGGAATCCCCTGTCAGTTTTTATGGCATGTACAATTGCATTTTCTTTTTAAACATTCTCTTTTACTGTATAAGATTTACACAAAGAAATAATTCAAACTGATTGTGCATTTGACATTGTTGAATAAAGTAAACCAATTGAAGGTACAAACAAATTTTCTCACTAAAATTTCAGTTAGTAATTTTAAATTCTAACAATGACAAGAACAAAATTATCATACAGATGCTTGATTTTTAAATTTAATGTGTATTTATGCCTTACACAGAATGGAAACCTCATTTCAAATTGCACAGGTCCCACACATTGTCACAAACAGTATTACTTTTAGAATAACTGACATGAATAAGAGGTTCATGCCAATTGTAGAGATGTGGGATCCCTTAGGGAATTAAGGAATGAAATTACACTTTTTTATGTAAATCAGTGACTTGCATCAAGTTAGTAGTCACTGAAAATGTCAGTGAATTATTTCATGGCTGTGGAATTATGCTCCAAAGTGTGTGTATGGGAGGAGGGGTGTTCCTGATCCCTGGAGCTGTGAAGAAAATTACCTGTAAACCAGTGTACTTCTTGTGGATAGAAAATCTGAAACCATAGTTCTGAAAAGTGTGAACTGCTCCATTCATATCATTGTCCTATCTAAAAATGATTGATTAAATTTCAGTCTTATTAACTTTCACTGCTGATCATTGTAGTTGAAACATTCAGCTACTGCAATTAATCCTACAGTCTTAAAGTGCTTCGACAGCTCCAAAAGTTTCTAAACAGTTTCTACAATGGATTGTATTAAAACTAAAATATCCAGCATATCAAAAAATGAAAATGTGGAGACAACATAAAATAAATGTAATAAAAGGAAGTACTGTACTGATTGTATGGTTCAATTTTATATTTTAAAAAAGTAGGTTAAGTAAAAGTAGTAAAGTGCAACTGAAATGAAGGTGCCAAAGAATTTCCAGTCTACCATGTAAGAATCCTGGCATCTTGCTGCAGAACTCTAGTCCTGCTGGCTCTGGACTGCCAAGGTCCCTTAAAATAGTGCACATCTATACTATCTAGATAAGATGAGTTTGTGATCTTGGTCAGTTTAGAGGGATAGGACAATTTAGAGAGATGCACCTTACAAACCTAAATTGAGCCTTTTATTTACAGACATAGAACTATTATGGGGGAAAGTGACAGAAATATTCAGTCTTTGGGGGAGATTACAGGTATAGTAATAGTTGAGATGTCCATATCTAGCAAAAGATAAATTAGGAATTCAGACATCCCTATGCTAAATATCCATGAATAGAGTGTTAAATGACATTCCAGTCTCTGCAGAGAGGTCAAGGATGGAATCTCAATGGAGAGTAGTGCTACTCTTACCACTAGTGTCTGTCCTTCCAAATCAGGCCAGTAGCATATCAGCTAGGGGCAGCTATCGGAAAGCTTCTGGAGTAGGCGTCTACATTGTACTTGTTCTGTAGGTGAACAAAGGGCTTCGGTTTCCAGTACTGTGAATTCAGCATCGTTTGCCAATATTTAATTTGCTGTAATAGATTTTATCAAAAAATTAAGTTTGATTTTTGAAAATATCTTTTAGTTTATTAAGGTTGAAATGCTAAGCTTTGAATAACCAGGAAAACAAATAGTAGTTGGCGGATATGATAGTAATAGCATTTTAATGGAATATATTTTGAATTTTTGTTTTAACAGGCTAATCCAGATCCTAACACATGCCTTGGAGTGTTTGGCCTCAGTTTGTATACCACTGAGCGAGACTTGCGTGAAGTCTTTTCCCGTTACGGACCTTTGAGTGGCGTCAATGTGGTTTATGATCAGCGGACTGGACGATCAAGAGGATTCGCTTTTGTTTATTTTGAGAGAATAGACGATTCTAAAGAGGTAAATTAATGTTGTTGCTCTTGACTGTAGTTGATTCTTATTACAGATTTGTAAAAATCTTTACAGATATTTTTATAAATTAAAGAATTTAAATGTATTTTATAAGAAGAAAAGGAGTACTTGTGGCACCTGAGACTAACAAATCTATTTGAGCATAAGGTTTCGTGAGCTACAGCTCACTTCATCGGATGCATTGTATTTTGTGAATCTCATAAATGCTGAAAATTGCCATTTAAATAGTACATTGGTCAAATTCATGAGAAGTAATGGTTTAGTGTTTATAAAATACTGTAATTTTATATACCAGTATACTGTTTAAGCAATGGGATTTAATTTGCAAACATTATTGGGCTTGACAGTTGTAAAGTAAAATCATTATACATCCATTAACACAACCATAACTACTCACTAATGCAAGCCCTGTTTTGCCTCATACATCTGTTACAAAAAGGAAATAAAATCTTTAGAGGGCATGGATTTTTTAAACTATTAAACTTTTTAAACATCTGCCTTTAAAAAGTCACTTCTCTCTTCCCCTGAGCAGTCTCTTATCTGTCAGAATTGTGAGATACCACTGTTTTCCCTCATAGTCTTAAGCTTTTGTCTGTCACCATTGTTTTAAGGAACAAGATTTGGAAAGCTTACTTTGACTTGTCAGTATGTGCCTTTATTGGTCAGTGGGTTACTAATCAATGCAAAACACTTAAGACATACCTTGCTCCTGGGAGTGATCATTCTCTATCCATGATATGGTTAGTTGAGGAGGAAAGAATGGAAACCAAGAATCTAAATTGATTTTTGCACGAGGGGTACAGAACACCATAGAAAAGTAGTGTGTCTTTTAAAAAGAGGTGTATTGTTACTTCTTCCGAGATATGAAATTATATTGAAATTTCAAGTGGCTGTGAGGCCACCTCAATTAAAGGTGTATCTCCAGTTTTTCTAAACAATGCTCTGTCAAAATGAAGAAAAATAGACACCACATCAGCAGTTTCAAGTGTGCAGTCAATGCTGCTTCCTTTAAACTAGTTTCTCAAATGCTGGGATGTGACACCTCCCCTACTCTCCCCACCAGTGGGTCATGAGGGGGTAGCTACCCAATTGATTGCACTCCAGGGGCTGAGAAACAGAAAACTTCCTTTGCTAAGGTAGAAGGCATTTTGATTAAGAGGAAGGGTGGGTTAGCAGTTAACGTTGGACTGAGACTTGAGAGATCTGGGTTCAGTTCCTGGTTCTGCCACCGATTTCTTGTGTAACTACAGATGAGTAATTTGCAGGTTAAGTTTCTTGATTGTAAAATGGAGAATAGCTCATGGGTGTAGAACATCAGTTTATTAATGTTTTTTGTTAAGCACTCATGGGAGAGGAATGGGAGATAGGAAGAAAGCTACCAGAGGCTGTAGCTTTTAGGAGTGAGGAAAAGAGAAGCTTCTTTCTTTTTCTTGCAGTTACTTCACTTTGTTATTCCACAATAACTTGAAACAGTTGGATGGAAGGAGGTTGGGGAATGGGGGAAATCATCGTAATTATCAGCACCTTACTCAACACATTGCCCCCAGTCTCCAAAGTGAGGCCCAGTTTCTTCTTGTGGTGCCCATATTTGCACTTCTTTCTGGCCACAAAGTTTTGTGGGATTTTGGATTGCAGGAAGAAGTGTGATTGATGGTTGGATCCTCAATGGGAACAGTTCATATCCACAGTACTAGACCATGCTCCCTCTTGTTCGCCAGTTCAGCTGAAGTAACTGGAAGCAGAGCACTTTTTTACATACCTTTGGGAATTACTTGCCATATGTAGAAGTCATGCATGCCAGCATGTGTCCCTTAAAGTGAATCCATGTAAACAGCTGAACTTTCTTTCCTGTTCAATATGGAGTTATGCTTTAGTCTTTCGTGAACTAGTCCAAAGTAGACAAGTGTCTCTTTGGACTATTAGCAGGTTCATGTGCATTCTGACATGTCTGAAACTTCACTAAGGTTCTTTTCAGTTTTTAATGTGACCCTGCCAAAGCTGATCAGCTTTTGAGTTTAGTACCTGTGTTTTCTGCTACTGAGTAACTGGCTACACAGACCCTACCTTAAGCAAAATTTAAGATTTTATTTTAAAGTTTCTAGCCCTCGTGGTTATGAAGAGAATATGAAATGAGTGTAAACTGTCTCTGTGTTGTCTTCCTAAGTGTGTAGACAGTTTGAAACAGTAGGTCTAAGTATGAATTATCTTCCTGCTCAATGGAGTGTTAATTCTGGAACCTAATTATGACAGTTTGTGTCAGTCTTATTAACTATAATGATGCTGACCACATTAGCAGAAACATCTAGGTATTATGCTTATTTCACAATCATAAACTGTTTTCCCAGTTTCCAAAAGCCCCAGCTATCTCTTAACTGTTGATAGTCTCCAGCTTCCACAATGCAGTTCTGTATTTTCAGTACAATATTCTGCAGCTGATTAAAAAACTGATAATTATGGTGCAACATTTAATTGAATTTAACGTGCTTGTATTTAATTCTGTAAAATACTCCTTCAGTGTGAAACTGCTACAGAATTTCCAGTCTTTTACCAGAGTGCTAAATTTCTGTCACGGTAGAATTTACGTCCATCCAACATGTCTCAGAGTACACGTAACTGCCACCTCTCCATATCCTATCCAGTCTCCCTCTACTTAAGTAAAAACATCATAGGTGGTAACAACCAAACTCAACATCACTTAATAGCCCCACCCTATCATTTCTCATTAAGTATCAAGATGTCTACTCCTGCTTCTGATTGGCTCATGATGGTAGCCTCCATTACCCATTTGTTAGATTTTCAAACAAGGACCTTCATGCTTTCTCCCATGCTGCCCCTCACCCTTGGGAGGAGCTTCCTGTAAACATCCACAAAACCACTTCAGTGTTCTCCTTCAGATCAGTCCTTAAAACTCTCCTATGCCATGGTGCACCCAAAAAGCTTAACAGTTGGGCTATGGTCTCAGCACACCAGTAGCCAGTGAGGCTGGCGAATGTTGTCTCATGTGACCCTCTGTCTCTTGCTGTATAATTAGATTGTAAGCTCCTTGGGGCAGGAACCTTCTTTTTTGTTCTGTGTTTATGGAGCGCCTGTCAGTGGGGTCCTGGTACATGAGTGTCTCTCGTAGGCCGTACGAAATTAAATATAATTAATATGTGTGGACATGTTGAATTTTTCTGTCATCCTTTAGATAGGACTTGAGAAAGAGGCGGTCCTTGTAGCAGTAATTAATGGCACTCTCCAGTATGGATAAAAGCCAAACCTCAGCCTTACTTTGGCTTTTGATTCTATTGTTGCATGGCATAACTAAAGTAGATGGCATAACACTACACTCATTCCAACTGAACAGGACCTAGATAGAGGTGTTAGAAAGCTGCTCCTCTTCTTCTTCAAGTGGTGTCCCTATGGGTGCTCCTGTCGAGCCCATGACTGGAGATTTTTACTTAACAATGTCCGTTCAATCTGCTCATCCATCCCTATGCCAGGACCCTGGTGAGATCTATGGTCTTGAAGGCTCTACCTCTTGAATCGATACCACTGAATTGAAGGAGTCCTCATCCAGTACTGGAGAGGCTGTAAAGTCCTGGAGCACCAAGGAAGGAGAGAGGTCCAATCAGGACTTGGTACCTTCTACCAGCAAGGAGGGCAAGCACAGACACTCAGGACTGGCACCATCAAGTTCAGCCCAACTGTCAGTACCCATGCATTCGGCACCAGCAAGCAACAGCACCACACACCATCAGCTTCTGTTTCGGTATGCCCACAGTTGGTGGTACCATCTACTTTAGCGACCATGGCCTCCGCTACTGTATCAGTACTGATCCCCTATTCGGTACCACAGGAGTTCAGATATATACTAAGGCAATATCAGCCTTTCATCCTCCACTAGAACGATTTTCCATATTTGCTCATGCAGTGTGGTCTAGGTTTATTAAAGGTTTGAAGAATGTCTATCTCCAGATTAGAAACCCTGTCCCAACCTGAGATCTCAGTCTGGTACTCACTTACCTTATGAGACCTCCATTCGAACCAGTGGCAACCTGCTCTGTTGCTTTGGTCTATGAAGACAGCCTTTTTAGTAGCCATCACGTCAGCCATAAGGTTAAGGAGACTGGATCCTAAATGGCAGATTCCCTTTCCCTACCCCCATTTACAGTGGTCTTTAAGGGTAAGTTCTCTTTACATCCACATCTTAAATTTCTTATCTAAGGTTCTATCAGAGTTCCACCGTATTCAAGTCATTCATCTATCAGTGTTTTTTCCAAAGCTACATAGTTCTCTACAAGATTTTTGTTTCTATACCCTAGATGTCAGAAGGGCATTGGCCTTCTACTTAGATGGGACCAAGCAATTTAAGAAGACACCTAGGCTCTTTATTTCCTTTGCAGATAGAGCCACACAGTTCTCGATCTCTCAATCAGTTCTCGATACTCATAGGCTATCAAGATGGATATCTAGATGTATTTATCACTTGTTATGATGCTGCGGGTGTTCATCCACCCCCGCCCCTTAGGGTAATAGCACATTCAACCAGATCTCAGGCAACATCTGAGTGAGTGGCATTACTGAGTGAGTGTACTAGTATCTGAAATATTGTAGGGCTACTACATGGGCTTCAATACATACGTTATCAAAATATTACGCCTTGCTCCATGCTGTTCAGGCTTGGTTCTGCAGTATTGTCTTCAGTTCCGGACTCTATTCTGAAGCTCCCTCCTCCACTGAAGACTGCTCAGAAGTTACCTTAAGTGGAGCACTCATAGGGACACTTCTCAAAGAAGATGATGTTGGTTACTTTGTGCAGTAACTGGTTATTTCAGGAGCGGCAGAAGCTCCCTAAAGGTGGGGGGACCACCAGCGCCTGAACTGTGGCCCCTTTCCCTATGTCCCCTCTGCCATGGCTCTGCCTCCCCCCCCCCCCCGGGTCGCTTGCCCTTATGGCTAGTATGCCCTCCCACTTTTAAAAGTAGTGGGGCTATAGCCCCTTGCCT